TAATATTTACTATATTGCCAGGTCCCTGCATGTCTTAGATTTAAAACTGGACCCGATAGGTGATGTTGCAATCGGGTTCTAGTAATTATTTTCAAGGTAAAACAATGTGCAGTGTGTATTGAATTCGTCAACACAAAATAATTGTGGTAATATTTTATCTAAATATTTATGTATGTGGTATGCATTGCATCGAAATAACTTGTCTTTATAAAAGTGAAACGTTTCGCGACTTCACTATAATAATGTGCAGGACAAAGGACAAAGGAATTGTGGTGATAGCTATCATACAACACAAGATATTTGGCAGGTTACGCTTACGACATTTTCAAGATAAGCTTGCATATAGGTACAAGTTCCGAACAACAACATTCGGACCGTCGGTCTATCGAACAAATATCCCCCGCTCTGTGAAGAACAGTGAAGATTTTTTTTATTGCCCTTGTAGACAGACGAGCACAGGGCCCGCCGGATGGTGAGTGGTTACCGTTGCCCATGGACTTCAGCAATGCCAGGGGCAGAGTCAAGCCGCTGCCTACCGCAACATCTTCCCTTTGTCGTGAATCTCTCACATGCTTTTTTTATTACAATTTTTTTATTATTAAACTACTGAAAATTTCATTAACTACAGTATAATTTTTAAACGGACCATTAAAGAGATCGTGTGTGTGAAAAATTATTCATGCTACTTCGAACTTCAGGCATGCGATTCTTATCGATTATGACACATTTCTGAGTTCATAAACATAAATTTTCCCTTGGAGCCGATATCCGTGAGAACGTAGCTCGAGGCTCATCCGACCACCAACACCGGTCGAGTTTTCACCTACATACCGTTTCCATACAATATTAAACCTTAAAACAATCAAAACAACTGCCGTTTTCCTTGTGACGCTCCTTGGAATATAAACGATGAAGACATAAAAATATATTTTTGCAATACACAGCAGGACTCTCATAGTTTTTTTTTCTCTTCTTCTGAATCTATTAAGTGCAATTAAATTGTGGTCGATTATGGAAAATTGTTTTCATATACATATATGTATATGCACTGCTATTAGATATTTTAGTACTTCTGTATTTTTAATACACGATGTAATTTTTTTCATCTTGGAAAGAATTCGCAAAAATTTATCGAGTATGTATTTCATTGGAAATATTGGTATGCTAGCCTGCGAGATTCGAACACAGGTCCTCTCGTATCGCTCGTTACGACTGTGAACCGGACGTCTTAATATTTAGTCCACGACGACGAATAAATCATATCATGGCATACTTTTATTTTTATTACAACGTAATGCCACCATCTACCTACTTTGAGATACGAGTGCTAAGGTCTCAGTTTTAACCGTACAACGGCTGCCTCACCCTTCAAACCGAAACGCATTACTGCTTCACGGCAGAAATAGGCAAGGTGGTGGTGCCTACCCGTGCGAACTCACAAGACGTCCTATCACCAGTAGGACCAATACGAAGCATTTCCTCAAGCTTTGCAGAGGTCAGCGCAATGATACACTAAAGACCGCTTTGCAAGAATTTCGAGGACGTCATACCTTAAACTTTAAAGCTTAAAAGATAAAATGCCAGTTATATTCGCGTCAAGCGATAGTACTATGCTGGTATTCAAATCCTGGAGGCAGGTACTACTCTTATAAGGAAATGGTAACTACTAAGTCTTTTTTTATTGCTAAGATGGGTGGACGAGCTCACAGCCCACTGGAGCCCATAGACATCTACGACGCAAATGCGCCACCCACCTTGAGATATAAGTTCTAAGGTCTCAAGTATAGTTACAACGGCTGCCCCACCCTTCAAACCGAAACGCATTACTACTTCACGACAAATCTGAACGACAATTTGTCTGTCTGCACAAGAAGAGCCGCGGTACGTAAGGAAAGGCGACGTCTTGTGATGTTCACCATTATTCGAACTTATGACCACGACCATTCTGCCAAGAGTGCAAATGACTGAGAAGGCGACTACTTAACGCCGAGGGAGCCATTTTTTTTATTGCCCTTGTAGGCAAACGAGCATACGGTGCACCTGCTGGTGAGTGGTTACCGTCGTCCATGGATTTCAGCAATGCCAGGGGCAGAGCCAAGTCACTGCCTACCGCAACCTCCCAAGCCGTGACCTCAATCACCCATTTATCCTGTGGAAACACTGCAACTGGCCTCTGCTCTCAGCCCAATACGACTACCCAAAACCAAGGATGCTCTATTCCAGTACTGTCACAGAAATTATGGGAATGGAATTTCGGAAGGAGGATTAGAAGAGCAGAGGCTTCACACTCAAAAGACTGAATGGTGGCGACATTCACATTGTGGGCTCCGATAACCACATAATCACCAATCAAGAGCTCATTCACCTGAATATCATCACCATGATCATCTCGACTTATAGCTGTCCACTGCTGAAACTAGACCTCTCCAATCTATCTCCAATGCGTCCGGTTCGCTGTCACCTGCATCCAACGTGTCCCAGCGATTTACACTAGGTCGTCAGTTTATCTGGTGTCCGTCCCAGACTGCGCTTGCTAATACGTGGTCTCCATTCAAGGATCTTTCTGCCCCATCGGTCGTCCGACCTTCATATTCATTTCATTCTTCACCTGTTTATCCATTAAAAAATATAGATGTCGGGCGGTTTGTTCGTGTATACAGGGGATTTCAGGGGCGATAAATCGATCTAGGTTTTTTTTTATCGCTTAGATGGATGGACGTGCTCACAGGCCACCTGGTGTCAAGTGGTTACCGAAGCCCATAGACATCTACAACGTAAATGCGCCACTCACCATGAGATATAAGTTCTAAGGTCTCACGTATAGTTACAACGGCTGCCCCACCCTTCAAACCGAAACGCATTACTACTAGCTACGAGTTATTTTCAGAAAATGTTGTTTTATTCGTGTTTTCAATTACCAACTTTATCGATAATCAACTTAAACATAAACTTACTTTTTTTATTGAAAGAAAATAACAAATATTATAATATAATATAATATAATATCAATATGTAAATCGTATTTAAATAAAATTTCTAAAAAATCCAATTTATAAAAAAAAAACCGAGCAAAGCTCATCCTCTTGTATAGTTATAGAAGCTAAGCTTAGAAGTAGGGAACGGCATCCTCGGAGATATTGAAATTAAAAATGAAAACACTGAAAATGTAGGGTAGATAGAAAATTAAACGATGAGACGTTGTGTGATCAATTTTTTGTATTTTTAGTAACAACTAATCAATAATTAATTATAAATACATACACTAATGTACAACCAAAGAATTCAGTGAGGCTTTTTACATTCGAAACGACGTCACTGGACGTATTTCATTACTAAAAAGAGGTACTTACATATTTTGTTTTTCTTAAAGAACAATAGGAATTGAGATTCAGTTGAGTTCAGCTGACTTTGTTTTTATCAACTAACATTAACAATTTTTAAAAAAATCTAAAAATGACATAAATAATTTAAAAAATCAAATAATGAATATTTACACACGTAAAAATTAAGTTAAGATTTTTACAATGGCAATACTATTTTGAGTAGTGTTAAAAATGTTTACTTAAAAACTGTCACAGGTAAAAAAATGATTTCGATCGTTTAAAATGGCACCAATTAATTAATTAATTAATTAAATTATCATCGTTTAAACTTGTGTAAACGTTAAAACAATTATCACATTACAAGGCCGTTAGTTTAAAATCTCCAAAAAATGGCATCTACAAATCCAGTCATGGATATTACGTACCTACTACGAAAATTAATAAAAGTATAATTCAGTCTTTTCAATTCGACGCGGTATTAAAATTACAAGTACTTCAGTGTTGCCAATAGAATAAATAAATAAAAATTCAAAAACCAAATTCTCATTCCGAAACTGTCAAACGTGAAATTTTCTTAATTTAATAAGTACTCGAATACCTGCTTTTTTAAAACACCGATAGTTTAAATATCGGATTCTCGTTAAAACTAATTCGATTTACTTAAAAAAAACGCGTTCTCTTTTAAAGTAAAACAGTATAAATAATGTTTTCAATAAATATATGAATACAGACTTAACGTTAAGTACTTCCTCGCCGTGTATCATGATAGCTCAGAATTAGCCTACCTAGTAATAATACTTAACTTCTAAATACGCTATATCACATATGAAGTATCATTCACGTTCATACGATGAACATTGTTTTCACCCTTCATTCGCAAACTGTCGAATCTGGAATGTCAAGATCACGTGAAAGTAGCTGAGCGAAGTCGGAGTGTGGCCCGCGGGCTCGCGACGAAAGGGTTAAGCATTCAGATGGTAAACATTTTTGTTATCTCCAAGTCAACAGTTTGCCATACTAATTTCCTTAGTACAATATAATAAAAATAAAAAAGCGTAGAAAAAATAACGTTACGTAAATGTAACACATGCGTTTTTATTTAAAAATTAAAATATATGCATAGTTTTGTTTTGGATGCGATACCTATAAAATGTACAAGGGCTGAAGAGGGCGAGGTCGCGTGCGTTGCTATCTCGGAATATCGAACGCAACACGCATACAATATTATACGTATAATACTGATTGTTTAATTCGCTTAATATTTAATTAAAATTCTCGAGAACGTTTATCTCGTAATGTGGGACACTTTTACGATGGCGCTACTTACTTACTTACTGATAAGGGCCGAACGCAACCTCCGCGCGCGAACACCCAAGAAGACACTTTATGCAAATGCAATTAAGCCACATATTCCGTTAACCGTTAATATGAAATTACAATTACAAGATAATTTCGCTGTTGATTCTCAAAACAGTTAGGCGACCGGGCACTCGACACGAACGTCCATAAAAATATAAGGTATTTATAAAATTAATGTAGTTATTACCCCTCTCTTGTATTGCAAACATAATCGTAGAAGTCAACTTTTGAACGATATCAAACAATACCATTGAAAGTTTTAGTTGGTGTACGTCGCTTAGTGTCTCGTCGGGTCGTTCAGTAATTGTCTACAAATTGTAAAGTTATCGTACTTTGTACATGTAATTAACTACCGACCGCGAGGGGAAACAAACAAGTCCAATTAGTTACCAAAGCGCCGTGATCGCTCGCCGTAAATAAATCGTACTTAAACTGGCCTCATCAATTTCCCAACGACAGTGTTCACGAAAATAACTTTATTAGATCACATGTTCGCATTTAATAGCCAAATAAATTAACCGAACGAATAGCTAGATCACTTTAATTTCACGCCGGATCAATTATCGCGTAAGAAAGAACAAAATAAACATCGGTACAGAACTATTTACATAAGTCAACATGAAATACGTATTCGACGACTCCGATGGATGAAAAAGCGAAGTGATTATGTACAGGGTCCGTTATCTGGCTTCGGATGCTGGGACGGGTCCGCGTTCGACTCGGGTCACAGTCACAAACGGCAACACTAGAGTTTGTTCCGTCGCTTCCATCTAGCGCTCACCTATAAACACGTGTGCACCACTTTTTCCGTACGACACAGCTTGCACTTGACCTCGCAACACCAATGGAACGTGCAGTTGCATCTCTCAACCACGAACATCGTGTTTGTCTTGTAGCCGCGGCCGCAGCACATCAGGTCGCAGCCGTCCACACCGATGCTAGTATCGTTGCAGGCGCGGCCGTGCGTGCCGGGGATACCTAGACGCGGATTCTTTTCGCAGAATCCCGGCGACGATTCCAGGTAGACGAGGTCTTTGACCCCGGGCGACTTGTGGTCCGGATTGTGCGGGCGCAACTGGAACCGATACCGGTCTTTGCGCGGCACCCGGTGCGGCGCCGCCTCGTTGCGCTGCGCCGGCGTCTCGAGCTCCGCCTTCGACAGCATCACGCGTGACGCGCCATCGAACCGGTCCTTCAGCGAGTCACCCACCGACCTGAAGCTCGGCAGCCTCATCCAGCAAGTCTTCACGGTGCACGAGCCTGACATGCCGTGGCACTTGCACTCCTGCTTCATCTCCGTTTGCACGTGCTGCAACAGAACTACATCTTCAGCATAGGGTCACAGCTAATTAATTCTATCGTTGACGGGGGTCTATAATGATGTCCAAATATCTTTAAATTCCTTCGATAAAAGTCGATACTGTGTGATCGATGATCTCTTAAGCGCACCCCGTCGATCGCATCTCACGATCGAGCAAATTGTTACAAATCGTGAAGAGGTGGGCCGGTCGTCACCGCACGTGGACCGATCATAAATCATGCCACAGAGACATCCATCATTCTAAGAAGGTAGATAAATGACGCGAGCATGGAAACAGTAAATATTTTCCTACGAGCGAGTCCAAGCGATTCGTAGAACCTCGCCGACGATATTTATTCATGTACATGTAGATAGGCGGCCACGCCACGGTCTAGTGTCCAAATATGTGTTAAACAATCGATGGAATGCCGTGAATATTCATCAGGTGGACACCCAGCGCGCCCGTCGTGACAGGAATTAAGCACTCGCTTTAGTGATGCGTCCGGGTGGCTCGAGGCAGCCGACATCCTTTTTTGATGAATTTAGGGAAGGAGCAAGCGTTGGATATGCAAATGTGGGTGTACGGTGGGAGGGCGAGTTGTGCGAGCGCGGCGAATGGGTGCTGGATGCGTAGTCGCCGCGCGAGGGGCCGAGCCGCCCGACGCATAATTAATATCACACTCGAACAACACGTCAACTGGTCGACGATCGATCGCCATCCGTAAACTTGACTATCAATAACAATGCAAGTCATTGGCCTGACAGGAGATCACTTTGACAGTTACAGGAATTCATCGTCTGTGTAGTAGTTTTGTTACTAACATAGACGAATGGCTAGGAGTCCGCCTGATGAAAAGTAGTGGCCGGAGGGCGCACGAATATATACTTTTTTTTATTGCTTAGATGGGTGGACGGGCTCATAGCCCATCTGGTGTTAAGTGGTTACTGGAGCCTATGAACATCTACAATGTAAATGCGCCACCCACCTTGAGATATAAGTTCTAAGGTCTCAATATAGTTACAACGGCTGCCCCGCCCTTCAAACCGAAATGCATTCACGACAGAAATAGGCAGGGCGGTGGTACCTACCCGTGCGGATTCACAAGAGGTCCTACCACCAGTAAGATGAAGATACAATAAGAAGAATGAAATTTGGGGACATATCCAGTCACACGAAGAGTTATCAAGGAAAAAGAAGAGCGGATTATCTGGCGAAGTAAACAGGAGAGAGTAACAGTAGGTACACTTACCGCTCTGCCGGCTTCGTTGTTGTGCAGGTTCATTTTCTCCCTTAGAGTCTTGCCCCGTTCTCCGGTATCAACGAACTCCCTGCTGAAGCGAAATCCGAAGCCGATGTTGTCGCTGCAGCCGCCCCACTTCCAGACGCGCACGTTGGCCGCGGCCGCCGACCGGGTTCTGTGCGGCACGCGGTCGATGTGCGAATAGTCGCACGTGCACGATTCTATGGAGCCCTCGGCGCAGGCGCGGGCCACGGAGTGGGTCACTCCGGCGCTCGTTATAGCGTAGATGAAGGCGGTCTCACGGCAACCTATCATAAAGAAGAAAAAAAACATTTATAGAAATTAATTTAGACATTACAAAATAAATTGTAGTGCCGTCTACAACGTTACCATTCTAAGGCACATTTCACACAATTACACTTCTTTACTTTTATTGGTTAGATGGGTGGACGAGCTCACAGCCCACCTGGTGTTAAGTGGTTACTGGAGCCCATAGACCACTTGGTGGTAGGACCTCTTGTGAGCCCGCGCGAGTAGGTACCACCGCCCTGCCTATTTCTGCCGTGAAGCAGTAAAGCGTTTCGGTTTGAAGGGTGGGGCAGCCGTTGTAACTATAATATCTCAAGATGGGTGACGCATTTATGTTGTTTATAGATGTCTATGGGCTCTAGTAACCACTTAACATCAGGCGGGCTGTGAGCTCGTTCATCCATCTAAGCAATAAAAAATAAAACATCTACAACGTAAATGCGCCACCCACCTTGAGATACAAGTTCTAAGGTCTCAAGTATAGTTACAACGGCTGCCCCACCCTTCAAACCGAAATCCGTTACTGCTTCGCGGCAGAAATAGGCGGGGCGGTGGTACCGATATTGTATTGAATTGATTGAGTCGTTTTTTGTTTTAAATCATTCATATCAGTTAAGAGCCCCGGGCCGTCGCTGGTTTCTTATATTGATCAACCAAAGTCAGTTTAGTAACAACGCTATCATTAAACCAATTTATTAAGTTTGGTTATAAATATTATACTTCAGTTTGGCATGTGTGGTATTCGTATAATTAAATCGTCCCAACGACGAAGGGGTCCGTATTTTAATCACATTTTATTATTGCTCCGGGTACAAGGGATAAAAAATCTGAGCAGTTTAAAATATTTTAGGTATTGTAATTTAGAAACGCGAAACATTCGAGCTCATCAGCGAATTGAAATCGGAGGGATCGAGTTGATTTCGATTTTTTTGCATTTTTTTTTCAATCAAGAACAACAACATTATAACCCGAGATTGTTTACGTACGAAAATATTACTTAAATCCACAGATATAAAAACAAAGTTTTTATTTTTGTATCGCGTATATGTGTGGACGAGCTCACAGTCCACCTGGTGTTAAGTGGTTACTGGAGCCCATAGTTAGTATAGTTACAACGGCTGCCCCACCCTTCAAACCGAAACGCATTACTGCTTCACGGCAGAAATAGGCAGGGCGGTGGTACCTACCCGTGCGGACTAACAAGAGGTCCTACGACCAGTAATATTGGCTATTAAGCGTGGCTAGCCCCCAATCTGTGCTTATATCCTATTAGCCGAGCTGGGAGGTATTCTTTATTTTTAATATTCACTAGAAGAGCTTAACTCCTCATAAGACTCTCGAAAGCGAAAACATAAAACTTAAATGGAAATTGTACTACAACAAGAAAGTAAGTTTTTAATTGGCGACCCGAGATATCGTAGCAATCAGCGCTGGCAGTCATTCATACATCTCTCACGGACGAATACATAAATCCGGTACTCGCTTCCCGTATCGAATACTATAAATAATTAATGGTCCGGCATTAGAATCAAATACTCATAAAATACAATTAAAAGAGAGAGGGTATATCTCACAGATTGAAAATAAAAGAACTGACTCTTACCTACACGAGAGATTATAAATTCGATCATTACAATTGGGACGGCGGGCGCATCGACTTCTTCTAAATATCGATTTAATGACTTTTGTACTTCGACGATTAATATCGAGCGATTCTCTATTCAAAACAAGATCAGCTAGACTTCATAGTGAAAATTAAATAGGAATCTTTCGCACAGTTGATATCGATAATTTCATCGAGCCGTATACGCGCCGATAACGATTCGATCTTGGACATTGTATTTTAACGGCACACAGCTTTAATAGCTTGTTCAGTGTGTTATGATCCGGCGTGGGGGTCAAGGCAATGATTGAATTCCTCGAGCGTCATTAAGCCGTTTATGAACGGTTATAAACGATATGAAAGTAAAAAAAAAAAAAAGAAATCGATAATCGCGTGTCACTTCTCGTACTTATGTCAGTCGTTTAAGAACGAAGTGCTTCTCGCATCCTCGGTGGGCTCCCGACCACCGCGCTTAGCCGTTTTATCGAATTCGAATTATTTTAACATACCCCGCTGTCGAATTAAAAATAATACCAGGCCGTATTTGTTGTTATTTATAATAATAATATGTGGAACGAACCCAGCGCCAGGTTTATTAAAGGACTCAATAAGCAAATGAAATCATTTTTTTATTGAGATGTCATCGTGCACTGATATAAATTACGTGCCGGTGCCGCGGACCCGCTCGCTCTCCGATTCGCTTTTTGTGCTTCCATTTGGGATGTTATACAAAAGTATTTTATTCAGCAATTACTTTAGACGTTCGACCGGGAATTTTAATGTCAATTCCGACATCATTCATTGCTCGGACTAAATTAAATTCATGGTACGGATACAGGCATGCTGAATCTCAGAATCCGTACATTTATCTTAAATAATTGCCTGGAAATGTTGCCTCGCATTAACCGTAGCGAATAGGCGCTGCCCAATTAAATGTGGCACGTGCTGAAAACATTCGTGAAATTAATATTCAAATATAATGTCATCGTGTGGATGTTGAAGCATTGACTTTAATATCGCAAATTTAAAAAAAAATGCAGCTCTTAGAAGGATGGTTTCGTAATAACTAGAAAGTTATTTAATTAAAAATACAATAAAAACAATACAAAATTTGCTTTATGAATTAAAAAAAATAATCGAATCATTATTATGTTCAGTCATATTACATTATTCCGTTTCAATTTTGTTTGCCGATTGAAAAATCAGTCGTAGTAATGGCGTAGTAAATCCTGTCAGGCTTCACGGGTATCTGTTTTATGAGCGAGGCCGTCCTGGGGCTGACCAGGTGGTCTGTACCACGTGCTGCGTCGCCGTGCACGTCTTCATACGCACCTAACTGTCTACATCTGTCTCTTAACAAATGTCAATGAGCCCGCTGTGAATTTAACATAGCTACTTTAACTTTATCCGATCGATCTAATCTAACGGTTCTCTATGGTACGATCAATTCGATATATAAACGGGTGGATATAATTTTTAATTGGTCTGTGAAAGATGAGCTCTTGATGATTCACCACGAAACATTACCATTTACGTACGGCGTTCGATCAGTAGTGATATTGTCTCGATTAAAATAATAAAAATAATTCGATTAACTACGAATAATCGCATCGATATTTCACGGGTTCGCTCGACGCTCGATTCCCGGGACAACAAAGCCGATTGTCGCGTTATGCGAATAAATCGCGACGTAGAAAAATTATGACAGATGGTGGAGGCTTCGTCCGAGAGGGCGTATTAGTCACGGCACAAAATAAAATGTGAATTCCCAACGCGGGATTAATTAAGCACGAACAACACTAATCCGACACCGACCTCTTATACAAATAACGTAAGTTTCCGACAAACAACGCCCGAGTATAATGTACATCATTAAGACCTATTATTTTATTAAGGCAATTCAATCCTATCGAATCGCAGTCAAATAAGAACAAACATGAGTAATGTGGATCTATAAAAGTAAATTATTATTATAACTGATAATAAAGTGCCGTCCGTGGATTATCTGTGCAGATAATAAACGATCACGAGTGAGTTTACAACGCGAACTCCGAACGATAATTCCATTCTGCCGGATTGGCGGTTAAGGTGAGGCGTTGTGAATTTATAAAAGTCAAAAACTCGTAAATTTCGGAGTGAACGTTCGCAAACCGAACCGAATAAGACTTAATCACTATTGACATTTGACGAACATCTGGTCCCTCCGAGAAAACCATTAAAATAATTCAAAATACTGTGTTATACTAATTAAATATGTTCTTGTCTCGCGCATTGAGTCATCACGCCCCGGACGATTTTACAAAAGATTAATTCGAAGATTTGACTTATACGAGAGCGTTTCGCCTCTCTCACTTTATTTATGAAGACTTGCATTATTCAAATTTGATGAGACGTGATTACTCAAAACAATCATAAATCACGAGTTTATATTACGACGTTTGGCCGGTTCAGGAACTGCCCTGGCTGGGCTTTATCGTTATAATAATACTATGAAGCCATTCGCGTCTTGTTATAAAGATTCAAACACGTCTTTTACGAGAACGTAATGACTTTTATCTACTCGAACAAAAGCGTTTCTGTTTTTAAAACGGCCATTTAAATGGTTTTTAATAATTAAATAAAAAGGTGGGAGTCTAAGTACATTCGAGAGAACGAAGTTAAAGGTAGTTTCGCAGTAAAAGTGCTTCAGTATCGAAGCAACGAAAGCTATAATTCATTTTCGTTATGCCATGTATGGGTGATAATTTCACATTGGAGTCCCGAGGCTTCTGCGACAATTCGGAATTAAGTCGGTCGTATATCACTCATTGTGAGTGGCACAAAGCGCTCCTCGCTACCACCGCTACCAGCCACCGCTACGACACTCATTCACACAATGGACAGAGACATTTGTTTTCAAAACTAAACAAAAAAAAAACACCAATAATAATCAGAATTTCGAGGCAACTTCAAACAATAAAGGACGTACTTAAAATACAGAATCTGTCAATAAATACGATCGCGAGTGGCCGACGTACGGTTTAATAGTCTCATTACAGCTTCTCGATATTGGCGTTATCTCAAAAACGAATTCGAACCCCACAAAACCCAAAACGCTTATCTAATTGAGCATTAAATATTTCGTCGAGGGCATTTTATATCGGCTTTATTTTGGGTGTCGATCGTTTTATACTTTTTATCCACCCACATCGCGGCGCAGGTTTCTTGGGGGCGCGCACGGTACGCACCTAAAACAGGAAATATTTTGAGAAAAGGTCTAATTTTATCGGGCGAGTTACCTGCCGTTAGGAGCCGTGTTAGGCGTAAACCCGGCTTCCGTGGAGCTGGTGCAGCGGTATCGCTAAACTACTCCGCAGGAGGCCTCGCCGCGGGATCTCGGACCATATATTTTTCTATTCTCGGGTCGACAATGACGCGTCGGATAATGGCCTCACTATTGTGCCGTTGTCATCGTTTGTGTTAATACGATCCTTGAGGTTTACACCACAATGAAATGGAGTCATTTCGAGGACGTGTCAATGGTGTGTCAACGTGTAAATTAGTAATTATTCGTGTCCCATCCGGGGGGGCTTTGTGCTTCGTTCTCGTGATCACGCTTTGAGACATTCATGTTTTTTTTTTTTCATTCTTTTTCAAACTGATGAGTTTCGAAATCGTATCTGCGAAGTTTTCTTTCTTTAAGCGCGTACCGTTTTGACGTCCGTGTAAAAACTGTAATCTCCGTTTTATTACGTAACAAACGTACGTAATTGCAACGTATTAAGGACGTCGATGTACGCGTGAGTGTCTGTATGTTTGTGTGCGCGCCGCATAATTCGCCCGCCCAGCGGGCCTGCCCTTAATAAAGCAATATGCTCTAAATGTACGCGCATATAACATAAATTTCGCGTTCGTGCTCTTTTTATCATGCGAAATTATTACGATGGTGGTCCGTAAGTTCCCTTGTGCTATATCTGGCTTTTAATTTAGAAAAAATGTTTCTCCGCTTTATAGTTTGTATGCACGGATGAAATATCAATATTTATTTTTTGCTCTAGGCGTTTACTTTTACGACGGCTTCATATTTCAATGTGTGTGCGAGTTCATATTGCACTCGCACGAAGAAAAAATATGTTTGACTTACGGAAGACGATTATACGACCGGACCGGACCGTCCTGGGGCCAAATATCGGATTTGGTCATTAAAACCTATGATGTCCGAGTCGTAAATAAGCAGAATTATAATGTAAACATGCTTTTTTTTTTTTTGATAATAATTATCTTGATTTCTTTATTCCGATCGCCTCGAGCTAAATGTAGATTTGCCCTCAAATGTTTTATTTACGAGAAATGATATAATGTAATGTGATGCGAGTTTTTTTTTCGTGAATATTCATATAGATACGAGAGCCGCAATTAACGGATGCTCTTCCTAAGACATTCATAATTCAACAATCATAAATTCACGTCGGTCACCGAAAGAAACGAGAAATGAGTCGGTATCTTTACACAGCGATAGACTGTCGTATATAACCCGTGGCGGACCGCAAGCATAACAGTGTGGCCGGCCTAATAGAAACGTCTTACGGAAAGGTCGCTTGCACAATTCATTAACATTGGAAACGGCCGAGGTCAATAACCGGAGCGTCGGTGAGCCAGCCACCGGCTCAACACACAGTCCAGATATAATGCCGAATTCGAAATGAGATCGAATTAGAACAAGATACGGGAGCGAACCCTCTTAATTTCCACGATAACCCTCTAATGCATGCGTCGACCGCGCGACCTAACTAACATCCACGTGAAAGCTTTTCGTTATTTATTAAAGCGTACATCTCTATTACGTTCGTATCGTTGCAACGTTTGTTTAATATATAAACAAATGGATGTTTAAAAAAAAAAACACAGAATCGAAATACAAAACTTTTTTTTTTTTTTTTTTCATTTTAATGTCATACCGTTTCTCGTTGTGAACAGATGTTCGCGAACTTATAATAAGGCGTATCGCGTACAAAGAATCGAAATCGGACACCGGAGATAGGGCGGCTCCGATTCGTATTGCAAAAATACATTTGCCATTCGAGAAGTTGATTGTTAATCAATTTCGTACCTTATTGTTGTGATTAAAACGATTAAGACTAAATTTTTTCAAAGATCAATTTAAAACCTTAAAAACATTTTAATTCGAATGCTCACCTTTGTAAGGTCTTATTTTAGTTCACAGATGTGTATGCTAATAACGCGTATTACTACCCGTAATGAATAGTACGAATCAACAAACACCCATATTTATGTTTGGTCTTTGAGAGGAACTGTTCTGATATTATATTATGTCTCGATTCTATTGAATTGATTCCGGTTAACGTATTGTGAAGCTAATGGATGTCTATTTGCAGATCGATCGCTGCTGATAACGATCTATACTCATTCAAAACATCTAAATGGATCAGGCGTTTGCGCAAATTGATGCTTTCGTATCGCAAGTTGCCTTAGAAACGAAATAAATAAGTGTAAGGGGTAATTTAGATTGCCCCGCACGATACAGGCCTAATTCTGTACAAAATTGAAACATTATCATTAAATTCTATTAAGATTCGTGTGGCATCTCTGGGCTGGCTTGTTTTTTCAAAGAACACTTTTAGATAATGAAAAAAAAGTAAAGAGAGTCATCGATGAATCGGATCCCAAACGTCACTCGGTCGCATGTAATTGATCCAGGATGTTTTATCTTGATGAGCCCTTTTATATGTGCCCCCGACGCGCTACCCTCCTGTTCAATACAGATAAAATCTTTTAAAAAGGGTTGCCAACTAAAGATATCACTTAATTTGTAGCCACTCTTTGTGACTGGTTTTAACGATTTATACAAAATGTTCGTTTTTTTTTTTTTTTTCGTCTTCCCTGATGTTCCTTTTTGCAAGGCTACCCGGTAAACGTTCGATTTTTAAAAGATTAGTTCCTTTAACGTCTCGATGCTTTGTAATCTGTCGTCAGATTTTCGGCCAGCATTATCTTTAAAAGATTTTTTTTTCCACAAATCGAATTTGGAACAAACGATTGACGCGTGCATAAACTATTATAAATGTTTAATATTTTTTTTGCTCAAAGACAATGTGTTTAGAATATTTATTGATTTATTGAAAACTCACCTCGATCCACAATTTTTCCGAACAAGTTTTTGCCCCTTAGAAAGTTTCTCGTGGAGCAGTTCCATCTTCTATATTTGAATTGGTGTTGACATTCCGCGACCGCCATACTGGCGCCCTTGGCGACTGCGGCCAAAACTCCTGGGTTCTCTCTGGCCAATCTTCTTTGTTTTCTTCTTAGCGTAGCGTGAACCGCCGGGTCCATGAACAGTACTCCAGGTGAGACCGGCGATAGATTATTTGGTTCTCCAGCTTTGGCAATCCCCCTTGAAGCAAAAAAAAGGAAAAATTGCAAACAAAAGTCTTAAAAAGTAAACCGAGAACGTATCTCGTATGACGCGACAAAGTTAGCTTTTGTCACTGTCTCGAAACACAATGCCTGTTAAAGGGTATCCTAAGGAAACAAATAAATAAACATATCCCGATCGCCACTTAAGGCAATGGGTGCAACTCAAAATGAAATGCTCATTTGGAAAGGCAAAGACAACAAACAGTTGACGACCGAACTGTCAATCCGCAGACGTTTAGATAAATATTTGCGTCGCGCATTAATCCTGGAGGACCGAGCGCGGACAAACACGGCCCGAGACGGATCGGGATCGCGGCCTGTTGACTCGGCGCAGCTCACTATGCCGCCTAAAATAAAAAGTTCCCGCGCACTCTCGCGGTCAGGCCCGCGTTCCGAACGCTCGACATCATATTACTTTTCTATTTGCTTTCCTTTGTGGTCGAGTGTTACGTAAATATGGACGCGTTCGTCGGAAATTTTTACTTCCTTCGTAAATTCATGGAGGATATATTGTTTTGAGAATTTCGATGTTAAACCGGTCAAACGTCGCGATACGTCAGCGGTCATTAATACGCACAGGTGTTAGTGACAGCATTATATAGATAAAAGATACGATTCAAATTGAGTTATTAATAACTATTAAAAGAAATTAAACTGATAGCGTGAATAAAATTATATATTGCGTCATACGTGTGGGTGAAGGATCGGTGGCGTTTTTCGTCAAATAATGTCATTTATTTATAAATAGATTAGCGGAGTTATTAGCCGCTTCCATATAAGGCAACATTAAGGTGACAACGAATTTTGAAATTAGTGTACGCGAATACAATAATCGCTATACGTTTAAGACAAGCGAATAATATCTGAATTTTGGATGTGGTTTATTAACAAAACCTGTGTGGCCAGACGATGTTTGTGTATTCTAAAGGAATAAACATAAAAAAAAACGAGATAAACCACTTCATTTGTCATTATTGCACATTATCTTTCAAGCTTTTAGTATTAATTGACTCGTTATTTGAACTATTCGTTAGGGGAAGTCATTTTATTTCAAACGACAATCTAACTCTGACAACACCGCGTAATAATTTAACATCGGCCCGGCGTTTTGATGGGCCGACTGACACATATACGCATGTTTTATTAGCGATAAATTAATTTTCAATTTAAAATCATAGTCGAGCACATTGTCCGGTTGACCCGAGTCCGTCCGTGGGTGCCACAAATTAAAAGCCCTGTCATATTAACGCCCACGAGAGCTTTGAAACAAAAACCGAGAGAGCTGTATTTGCCCGTCCACAACATAAGTTCCTTTGCACTTGTCACGTTAGTAGGAAACCAAACAATGGTTCAAGATACGAACTGCCCGAGACAAAATCCTGAATTGCCTTCGCGAGCAAACGCTATGTTTGCCCAGCGATAAACCCCGTGTGAATGTGTCAAAATAACAAATGCTCTGTTTCGGTTCTTGCGTCGTTTTATTCGTCGCTAATTAACGAACGTTTCAAGAGACTAATGGACGTTTGACACAACGAGATACTGTTTGACTGCGCTAAACCAGCCCGGCTCGATTCGGCCTCGCGGAGTTTGTTCACGGGCGAATTCGTTGGGCGTGTGCGGAATACAAAGCGGACCTTTATTTTAATTTGTTGTGAGGCGTCAAAATATCAAAGCGACTGTTCCAGTAACGTATGAGCCTCGCATTACTCGCGTTCGTATCGAACGACGTGCTATTTTAAAGTGGCGTCCGTTATCAGACAGATCGTGACGCCGGCACGCGATTTCGTCCGTAATGTAATATGGAGAACAAGTGATGAATACGAATTAGCTGAGGTGTGGCGGATTTCTTTTAGCCGGAGGCTGTATGTATGATTTTATGGCCAGGTCGTCCCACATCGTTTTTGCCCGTGGGCTCACTAGATCAGTAGGTTCCGGGTCGATTGTCAAATCGAGGTATATTTCATAATAATCTTTAGTATTCATTAAACCTTTAAATATATAGTGACATAGTTAATTGTGTTGTTGACTATTGAGCTGCCTTAGTCTAGAATACTCTAGAAAATAATAAGTAATTAAGTCTTACTATCAACTTTGTTGGGAATGTCTTGACCTTTTCCCGCGAGGAGTGCAAATCTGAACATGTGAAATAATAGAACAAGCAGTATGTAGTGGATTGGGTTTTCGAAATATTTTATTTGGACAGCATTAGGACCTTTTTCTTTTGTTTCATATAAAGGGTTGTGTGTTTTATTTAAAGGGCAATAAAACTTATTACCTAGTTCATAGATTTTGTTTGTTTCCAAGAAAACAGTTGACTCTCGTGTTACGTTAGGATCACACACAGGTGGACTAATAATAACCTCGTCGAATCTTCACTCGGACAATATAGTAATTATTTTTATAATTGAATAATGAAGACCTAAGAAAAATTGAGTGGCTCCTCTTCAGTCACAAAACTCTGCTAATCAATAAAGCGCCTACGACAACATTATCATGTTAAAAGAATTTAAAGTATTCCTATCGCAAACACATACATTTATTTTTAACATTACAAAAAATGAATCTAAATTTCGATTTGTCGTTGACAATTCTTCGACAATTTTTAAAACGCCTGTAATTGATTTCAAATAATCATGTTTATTTTAAAATAGATTGATTTGATTTAGATCTTCAGTCTCATCTACATGTGTATTGTGTCGTCAATAAATTCAATTGTTATTTGAATCTGATTTACCCTCAGTGTAGTCAATAAGTAATTTAAAATAACTAGTCTGACTTTATTATATTGAATTTAAGGCCTGTTTTAAAAAGTCTAACATTCGACTGGAAACTTTTTTACTTTGACGGCAATCAAAAGTAAACTTGTAAAAGCTAATCAACGATGATCGTTTTGAGTTAATTAAGCTTTCGATTTTTGGCATTTAAATCTAAAAACGGTTAACGTTAAAAGTTTATTAAATAAAGTTGTTTAATATTAATTGGCGATTAGCATGTTAATTCTTTTTGAAAATTGAATCTCAAGCGATAAGACACATTTGAGTGGTGTTAACCGCTTTATATTTACCGAGATCGGTAGCGTTTCGTCTTTACGAATTATTATTGGAAATAGGTGACGATGTCAAAACCGAATCGTTTTTATTTCAAAATTATGTCTTTCTCATTTCCGTTTCGTTTTGGGGTTAACTGTTGGGAATAGGGAGATAATTTCTTCTTTAGCTGTCTCTTTGAAGAGCCGTAGGCGCGATTAGAAGCACCGACATTTTAGTGTCGAGTTTATGTACAATTTGCATTTTAAACGTGAATAAAAAAAACGAGATCGAAATGCAAAAGTATATCATTTAATAGCTATTGAAGTTAGACGAGCATACCGCTCATCTGAAGGAAGCGATTACCAGCGGTCAGCGGTTTACCAGTGGTAGGACCTCTTGTGAGTCCGCACGGGTAGGTACCATCACCCTGTCTATTTTTGCCGTGAAGCAGTAATGCGTTTCGGTTTGAAGGGTGGGGCAGCCGTTGTAACTATACTTGAGACCTTAGAACTTGTATCTCAAGGTGAGTGGCGCGTCTACGTTGTAGATGTCTATGAGCTCCAGTAACTACTTAACACCAGGTGGTCTGTGAGCTCGTCCACTGATCTAAGCAAAAACAAAAACACCGATTAAGGACGTCAGCAAAAGTCAAGTATAGCAGTCAGACTAAACCTTTTTTTATATAGGATTGAGGGACTATTTGTGGCTTGGAGGACTTTCCAGTTTTATCAGCACAGGTGGGTGAGCAAAGGCTCGGCCAGGAGGGGTGGGATTTGCTAACAGCTGTCCGAGCGCCTCCAAAGGAGACCTAACAACTCAAGAGCAGCTGCTTCGCGAATGAATCTACTACCGGATCGGAATCGCGACCCGCTGAGAAGATCCGGCGAGAAACTCAGCGGGCTGATTTTTAGGTTAAGTTGATATGACAAACTTTTTGCCGAGTTCGACGAGTACGGTTACCGAATATCTATATACCAAACCGCTATGTATTGAAGAGCAAAGAATTACCTTATTTATTAACAATTCATTAATTTATTTTATCAATGCAAATAATAATTATGAAACTTAAAGTATTAAAATTTGTATAGCAAGAATTAGTGTAGATAAATTTTAATGGATGTTTCTTCAATGTAAAGTATCAAAAATATTGAGTACAAATCGTGACCCGGTATTTTTTTTTTTCAATTCTGATATTTCAATCTGTTTTAATCGTAACTAATCTGAAAAATTAAAGTATGTAAAATTAATCAATTAATTCAAAATTAAAAGTGTTTACTTGGTTGAATTCGATTAATTAATTTAATGTTATCTTACAGATACGTTGCCCGTTTAAAATACATTTTAAACAGATTTTTATTATTCATTTTGATATTTCTCCTGATGAACTTATCGTAATCTCGTTTATCTAACCCCTTGATAAGTGTTCGGATGAAATAAATATGATAATATTAATTTAAAATAATAAAAAATCCTAGCTCACGTGTCCGACGGATAAGTGAAGTCCATTTTAAATCATCCTTTAGGCTTCAATAAATACGACTGTTCCTTTATAGTGCATGCAACATGTTAAGTTAAATTTATGTGGTGGCTGCTAATGGTTATTCATTTATTTTATAAATTTTACCGAAAACAAGGCGCTATTATTGTGTGCCGTCGGCAAAACCTTCACCGCGCAGACGTACGTAAATTTATTTTTAAATAATACATTCAAACACTTTCAAATTCTATTAACCATTACATAGTATAAAACAAAGTCGCTTTCTCTGTCCCTATATCCCTATGTATGTGACGGCGTTAACGATATTTATGTTATATAGCACGTGCAATAGGAGTGACTCACACAAGCCAGGCGCGCCGGCCGTGTCGTTCCACTCGTAAACAACAGCTGCAACAGAAGTGACTCATAAGCCAGCTGCGCCGGCTAGTATAGAAAAGCCGGAACGTGCCTTGAAATGAACATTCGTTGGACTGCGCTTGCCTGGTGCACTTACTATATCCTTGTTACGTTGTGTGATTCAGTGACTGTTGTACGTACTGGTTAAAGTTGGACAAGTGTTAAAGTGAATTGCTAAGATAACATATTGTTGATTAAATCAGGAATCAAAAAGTGACATCGTTTTACTTGGTGTTCAACAANAACTGGAGAGACTGGGCTGGCCTGTGAAGCAACCGCTTGCGAAGGGTTTCTGCAAGCAGAACACTTCCATGCCGCCCTTCTTTCGGGGCCCAGTTTTCTATATCCAGCTTCTGTAATATTAGCGCATCCGAAGTCAAAATGCTTCTTGCACGTACCGCATTGAACACCATCACTGAATTGGATCTTGCACAGGTTACAATTCTTCATTGTCAGAAAAATAATAAATTAAAGGCGACCAAATGTTCTCAATATCTGAGAAAAGATCGACACACTCTTCACAAACAACACGTCTTGCCTGGCTAAATAACTGTTCCTAACTGACGCATTCAAGCATTTGTCAAATATCTTGTGTTCTATGATGGCTACCGCCTCATAGTAATAGATATTTACCTATAAAGTTGCCATTAGACTTAAATAAAATCGTCTGTTATTTAATAAGTTAATCTATAGGTATATATAAAAATGAATTGCTGTTCGTTAGTCTCGCTAAAACTCGAGAACGGCTGGACTGATTTGGCTAATTTTGGTCTTGAATTATTTGCGGAAGTCCAGAGAAGGGTCAAAAGGTCTTTTGTATATCGATTGAGGTACTACGAAGTCTGCCGGGTCAGCGAGTAAACGATAAAAATATATTACCAAATTTAAGGTGAAATGAAGACTTCAGCAGGCAACACTACCACAGATCGAGACGTGAAGTCTTCATCGGAACGTGACAGAATTGTCATCTCAGGGATGTCAGGTCTGTTTCCTGAGGCGCGATCCGTCCAAGAATTTGCTGATATTCTTTACAATAAGGTAGGGTAACAATTTAACATGTGGTAATTTCATTGGTATTTTTAATATAAATAATGGTTAGCACTGACTACTTTCGCTTTAGATAGAATATATATTTTATTGATTATCATTAAACTTTTTTCTTGAATTAATTGAATCTTCTACATGGAAGACGACCTTATTGGTGTGTGTTCTTTTGTATTCATTTGTGTTCTTTTTTTCACTGTTATTATGTTTATGAAATACTTTCAGTCACTTCACAATCGAAACAAAAAATATTATCCTTATTCGGTGGTCAAGCCTGAATTGATTGCATTTTAGTATAAACAGATTGCATTACATAAAATTTGTAACCTTTTGAACAAAAAAGAATGTCGATTGATAAACAATGTAAAAAAATCCTGAACTGTTTTGCCTTTGGATAGAATTAAAACTTTGTCAACTGGAGCTGTACCACTCTATGATTTTTTCTGCACTAAACATATTTACTTCTTTAACTTTAAGGTAAATCCTGTAACATCAGAGAATAATCGTTGGTGGTATACACCACTAGAAATTGGTCCGTATTCAGGGAAAGCCCCAGGATTACAATATTTCGATGCACAATTTTTCAAAGTACATCAACGACTTGGAGAAAAAATGGATGTTATGTCGAGGAAGTTGTTGGAGCAATCTTATCAAGCTATTTACGACGCCGGTAATCTTCTATTTTTATTTTATCAAGTTCATAGTATTTGGTTTTTCTAATGCCGTCAACGATGAGTGAAGTACACAAGGACGAGCTATCCGTAATGACAGTCATTGATATGCTGGCGATCCTTGAAGTACCCTAGGAGCTGAGTGTTAATAACTCGCTCCAGTACCATGGAAAGCAAAGAAGTTATCGTGACGGGCCGATGAGTTCGACCGTTATTATTTCTTGGGGATAAAGTGGACATGAGCGGTCTTGCACGAAGACGGAACTCTGTTTGGGCCTATAGAAGAGACGACATATTTTATGGCGTTAGCGCAGTTGTCAACTCTGAGACGCATTTCTTTAAAACCTCTGCGGCGACGCAATCTGGCCCACTCGCTTTTTGAAGGTCGAGGAGCCGGAGCTCCCACCTCTCCGCACTCTGTGTGATGCAGATCTCTGGCAGAGAGCGAACACACTAGGGGAACTTCGGTGGCGGAGTGTTTGAACTTTTTTTTTTTTTTTTTTTTTTTTTTTTCCACAGGAGAAAATCGCCGGATCCCCACCCGCGCGGCAGGTGGGGTATGTGGGAGTTGAACCTCACTAAAAACTCCTGCCGCTCACGACCGGCGCCCTACCTCGGACCGGGCCGGAGCCCAGTCGGGGCTATTGAAACGGCGGGACAGGGTTGACGCAGAGCACATTACATCCATCCCACCGTCCCACGGACGCCGGACCGGTGGCCGCCAGCGACACGACCACCGGTTCCCTCGTTCAGCGGGCCGAGAGCCCGCTTTGATGGCGCCGCGTTACACCTTCCCCCAGAGCGGTCGGGGGAACGCGGTCTACCATCACCCGGCTTCCTATTGCGGGTGAGCGTGCAAAGCACGCCACCCCACGTCTGGGTCTCTCCCCGCACAAAACGGGTGGGACCCCTAGCTCTTAGGGGGCCAGGTCACGGATACGACCCCGGTCCCGACCCCCTGCTCGGCGGCGGCGGGTTTCTGCGTAGTGAGGAGAGCTTTCCCTCACTCGCCCCGCCGCCTCCTTCTGCGAGATGGTGCACTCGCAGAAGTCGAGCATAGCCTTCCATGAGTGTTTGACCTTAGCCTTTTTTGTGGTAGTGAGAGACTATACTGGCCAAGGTTGCTTTCTGTAGCCTTGGAGAGTGCGACCAAAAAACACGACTCTCTGAGGAATAGCTCTTCAATCGCTATTTTTGCAACATGCTCTAAATGCGTCCCAGAAATGGTGTCCTTATGAAACCTGAAAACGGCATTAAATTTCCGTCATTCCTCAGAGTCGTTTGGATCCTGCCGTCCTGGTATCGTTCTGTTATGCGGGGTCTCCCGATTAGGTTTTTAAAAAAGAGTTTTGAAAAAGAGAGTTCACTTTTATTAGTTCAATTACACAAACAATTAAGTTATAGAAATTGGCAGAAATGAGATATTGTTCAAGACCGCTTCCGATGGGTGACTTAATACGACTGACTGACTCTCGGTTGGTAACTATTACCAAGAGATTTCTCACAATGCTTACTCAGCATTAGTGGTGATTAAAAAAGATGTATCATTACTTTAACTAACATGTGGAGTCTGTAACAGTTCCATGCCGCAAACTATTACATATACTACTACTTGGGCGTGCAGTACTACTGGCTTTATTATACCAGGGTCTACGACCCAAACGAATTAAATAATGAAATCGCAATTATTTTCCCTGAAGCACCACATCTTTAAGTCAGACTAGACAGACGTCAGGATCACTAGAGGGAAAGCAGAGCCTTCCTTAGAGGGTAGGAAGCGAAAAATTCACGCATTTTATCTCAATCTGCTAATTTATATTGCCAAACTGTTCGACACCAGGTAGTCGTTCGTCGCTCAGGGCGAGAGAATGGCATGACAGTACGAATAAGGCAGTGATCAGACGATCCAAGCGAGGCGTCGACTACCACACTGTATCCGACTGGGTGAGTGGTTAGCAGAAAGTCCAACTAAGAAAAGTCGTGCCTATTAATGTTTGGGACAAGGACGGGCTGTGTAACCAGCTGAAAGAAGCCGTAGGACACAGCGAAATTATAGGCCACTCGACCATGGAGGTCAGTGTTACTGAACTCCAACCACTCTTGGTGATGAGAGTTAAAATCCCTAAGAATCACGATCTCCGTAGATGAATACTGCTAAAATACGCGGTCAGTCCCCTCTTGTACACGCTCAAACAGGCTTGACCCTGCAACACCGCTATCGGGTCTATACATGCGGGTACATCCCCCATGGTCTACGCGCAACTACAAGACGGACAGATCCACCAGCTTGAAGCTCCGAAAGCAACGACAGCCGACATCCGTCCGAATTAACACGCACACCCGTGCTGTACGTAGGAAGAAGTGCTTCAATAAATAGTCGGGGTATTCGAGGTACGAAGTGGCATCCGAAGTGGATATGAATATATGCGTCTCTGTCGAGAAAAACAGGGCAAGCCGCCACGTCTCAAGATGTTGATAAACACCGCCAAGGTTGCTTGACCGGCGGTCGGAAACGGTGATGGGTCGCTCTATATCTTCGTCAAGAAATCACACTCCACGGGCTCACACATATGTTTGCTTCGCATGTTCCAAGCATCACCAGGATTCACTTCCAACAAGGAAGAGGAAAGGAGAAGAATAAAACTGGCTCTCCAACCGACACGCCGGAACACAGATAGGCTATTTGGCGGCGGATTCTAGTGAGAGGCTAGTTTCCAGCCAGACGGACAAAGTCCTACCGCCGGTTATGTCCACTGCATCCGTTTTGCATCACTCAGGGGTGTACTTGTAGGGTGTCGCGGGTTAAACCTACCGAAATGGAAAGCACCAACCCCCAAGCATGATGAAAATTCAAAGTCGAAACTAAATTAAAACCTCCTGCCATTTGGTACTGTACCGTCCGACACTCGCTGAAATGGAAATCGCAAGAACGGGAAAACTGTTTTAAGTGTTTACCTACCTCAATCACCCCACTGAAAATAAAGGCATCGGGATTGTACAGTATACGTAATGATTTAAAGGTTAGCGATCAATTCAAAGCCCGCTTCAACGATGGCTGTGATTGAATGTAATGTATGTAACGATGTATTTTGTAATTTTATAGCTTATTTAAAATACCTCTATCAATTGTATTTACAGAACAAGAAAATTATGTACAATAATAGTGCCTGAACAAAAGCATGACTGTGTAATTCGTTGACGTGAACAAAATTTGCTTTTGAGTTCTATTAAGCCTAAATACTCGTATTGATATAAAATCCGAATATAGTGTATGTAGTTAGATAGGTAGGTAAGTCAAAAAAACCTTTTGAGGGGCATCGAAACAACGATTTTAAATAGTACAGATACAATGTGCAACAATAATTTTCTTTGTCCTATTTTCCAATTAAACACCTACACAATAGAGAAATAAGAATTATTAATAATATTTGAAATTATCCTGTACAATATCGATTTCGAAATGTTTAAACAAGATATGTGTTTCAGGTCTGAGCCCTCAGAGCTTAAATGGTAAAAATGTTGCGGTCTACATAGGTGTTTCTATTTCTGATAATGAAATAACCGGATTTTTTGATAATTCTTCCACGAGAGGATTTGGAATAATGGGGTAATTCAATTTGTTTTATTTTTAAATTACACTTGGTGAGGTACTAATCTTTTATTAAATTGTTTCTAAACAGATGTAATAGATCAATGTTTGCCAATCGTATCTCCTATTGGCTAAATGCAAAAGGTCCTTCGATGACTGTGGACCAAGCATGCTGCAGCTCTTTGAGTGCTCTACAGCTGGCATACCTTGCCATGAAAAGTGGCGAATGTGAAGCTGCCATTGTTGGATCATGTAATCTGTGTATGCTGCCTGTATCTTCCGTTCATTACAGCAGGTTAAAACTATCAAACTCATTAAAATCTATAACATACATACTTTGTAAGTGGGATTTAAATTATAAACTTAGAAACAAATTAGCATTGATTTAGTTATTTAAGCACAAAAAATATATAACAAGCATTTACATGCGAGTACATTATTAGTATTCGTAGTATATTAATTTTATACAGTATATTTGGATCTGGCTTAGAGAGTACAAAAGTGCACATTGAAAAAGGACAGTGTCAGTATCCTAAAAATTGATTTAACAAAATTACATGCAGGGTAAATCAAATCTAATTAATTGCCACAGTATCAAAGTTAATGGTAATTACAGAAAATTGTATGGTTTGCGTTTAATAAAAAGGTTTTGTTAACCAACTATACTGTAATTATCAGGCAACATTCATTTAAATTCACACTATATTGCAATTGGTTTTTAGAATAAACTCGATAACAACGGATGGAAAGACTAGGTCGTTTGATCAAGAGGCCAACGGATGTGTTCTCTCTGATGCTATCAATGTTATTTTCTTACAAAAAGCGACTGATGCTTTGAGGTAAATTAAATTTTTTTTCGTTGTGTATGTAGTTTGAATCGTAGCATTCCTCAGTTTATGAAAATTTGAGAACAACATTTATTTAAGGGTATACGCTGATGTGGTCCATGCCAAGAATGAATACATTTCTTTCAAACAAGAAAATGAGTTTCCCAAGAGCGGATCATATAGGAAACCGCATGAAATTGCAAGTTTTTTGAAAGATTTTTATATAGAAGCGGATTTCGCCCCACAAGATGTCGACTACGTAGAGGCATTTGGCATCGGTAGGCCTTAAAATTTATTATTCACTTAAATACATAAAGATAATACAGGTTTTAGTTGATGTTAATTCAAAATATGTTGGTAAGTATCTTTTACATTTTAAAAATATAAACTGTAATATGTAAGTGATACATAAAAGTAATATCGGCGGAAAGCTAAGCTAAAAAAAAAATTTTAAAAGTTTTCTAAAGACATAGTGTATCATTTGTTTTGCAAATCCGTAATTGGAGTGTTTTAGTTTACTAAATTGTCACACAGCGGCTAAAATCAAATTTGGTGACTAAAAATAAGCCAATGTAGGTACTGTATCTAATAATAATTCATAAAATTATATATTTTCTCAGTTATTGTTTTTAATTTGATAGGTAATCCGGAATCAGATAAATCTGAACTAGAAGCTTTGGCTGATATTTTCTGTGACAAGAAAACTAATCCATTGTATGTAGGCAGCGTGATGTCCAATATAGGATTTACCGCAGCAGCTAGTGGCATTACATCCATTATAAAAGTGAGTGTTTTCCAAATACTATATCGTGAATCCTAGCTATTGCTTAAATTGGATTTTGCGCACAAGAAATCTGAATTGTATAATATTTTATAGAACCCATATAAAAAAAATACAAAACAAACTTACCTGCTTTCAGTAATTATAAGATGCACCATTCTTACCATATTTGCTAACAGTTTATGCACTGAAAATTGCATTTAAAGAGTTGAGCACAGTCGCCCGGCGACGCTGACATGCCCATTTTATTTATCGAAGTTAACATAAACAAGGGCGGTGAAACCACGTTTATAGCACACAACAAAATCTTTTAATTCATATGAAATCTTTTAATGGAAAGTAAATGACTAAAAACAATTAGTATGAGATATTTATACGGCGACAATTATCCTTTATAGGTGATCCTCGGCTACCAAAACGGTTTATTTGCTGGTAACCTACATTACAATACGCCGCGCCACGACATAAATGCAATAAAAGACGGGCGAATTTGTATTCTTGATGATCACTGCGACATTAACGGAAATTACGCAGCAATCAATGCCTTTTCAGTAACTGGAGTCAATGCTCATGTTTTGTTGAAAGGAAACCGTAAACCAAAGGTAAACTATACGGTTTTTAATTCTAAAATAATACTATCTAAATTTTAAGAGAATGATAGATTCTATTTTCGAATACGTAAACAGTCTCAGAATACTCTTTCTTCTACAATATAAAATGATTGCAGTATTGTTTTATTATATTTTTGTAGTTGTAATTTATCTGAATTTTATATATTTTAATGATTTCAATAAATTTCAACGAATCAATTTGTTTGTCACTTTAAGATGGATACTTTAATATTATTATTCTCGTGTTTTTTTTCTTTTTATGTCACGACAGTACAGCTTCGTTAGAACAAATGATAATTATCTAGCTTAGCTTAGCTAGTACTTAAAAAAATATTACTATTCTTAATTGCGAAAATTTTATACATAACATTTATGTATCTTAGGACTTATCCAAATATAAATCCAGCATACCACACCTGGTGACAGTATCAGGGAGGCAAGATACTTCAGTAAAAAAAGTACTTGATAATTTAAAATCAAGACCAATAGATCCAGAAGAACTAACATTATTTCACAACATACATTCGGTGGTGACTCCAGGGCATTTGGGAAGAGGATACACAATTTTGGGTAAGTAGCGTTACAGTTCCGAAAGGGGCAGGAAGGATATTTTTGGAACGAAGTTTCTTATGGGACCGGGAAAAAATGTCCGCAATGTAAGATTTTTTCTATTTAGTTTGTTATCAACAGATGTCGCTGCACGTAAATTCAATAATTCCTGAATCGCGGTGACGAGATGTTACACAGTTGATAGACCTTCACGTATTTCTCTTGCTAAATCATACTTACCTGGCGTAGAGGGAAACCGTGATCGAGCAGGCGGTTCCCCCAGGGCGAGACCGCTCCAGTGCCCTGTGGAGTGGTTGACCCTTGCGATTAGACGTGCGCTAATCATGTTCGGAAAAGGATTGAACATGACATCGTACTTTAGTTAGAGTGTCGGAACTAGTTCCAGTAAACATGTCCGCGGAACTGTTTAGTTCCGCGCACATGTTAAGTCTAGTAGCTGTTTGTAGCTGTTTAGTTCCGCGGACATATTAAGTCTGGTAGCTGTTTGTAGCCGTTTAGTTCCGCGGACATGTTAAGTCTAGTAGCTGTTTGTAGTGTAGCGAAACACGTATTAAATTATTATTAATTACACAATATTTTTCAAAAAAGGTATTAAAAATACAATTTTTTAAAAACACTATATAAAAATAGATTGCCGCTGATGGCAATTATTTTTATAATTATTATTTTGTAAGGTTTTTAGTTTTAGGTTCATTGTTACAGTTTGTTTCATAATTTATTAATGTACTATTCCACTTTGTCATAATTTCAATTACTCTACTACTTTTATTATTTTTCAATGTATTGTTTTTTTTTTTTTTTTTTTTTTTTTTTTT